CTTTAATTACTGATGGACATTAAGAATTTCAGACTTCCTGCCTGATTGAGAGGGTTATTTAGAGGAATAAGAAATAAGTTTTTTTTTTTTAAAGAAAGGTAGGCTGCTCTGATTAGAACTGATCATACCTATACCACAGCACTTCTACTTTTATTTTAGCATGTAGATTGTATCATTTATCTCAATTCTTCACTTCCTCTCCACATTAGATCAGACTTTCTAACTCCTGTCGTGGCCTCACAGGTGGGGTGTACTTTTGTACCCCTTGACTTTGGGCTCGGCCACAGGATTTGCTTTGGTCAATGAATGTCAGTGGACAAGACAAATGCAGAGGCTTAAATTATGTTGCAAGTTTGGGCTTGATCCCCTGCCCTAATGTTTTTGATTTGGGAACGTGCCTTAGGTAGCCGTTAGTGTCAGGAGAATGAGATATACACGGAAGAGATGCAGACATCATGTGCAGCTTGGAGACAATCTCAGCATTACTCAGCCTAAGTCCAATGAACCCTAGCCAACCCACCTATGCATGAATGATAAAGACACACTTCCAGGCCTGTGCTATTGAGATTTTGTGTGACCAAGAACACAGCATTATTTTAAAAAACACTGATCAATACACCTTGTTTGTAGGTTTGTCTCCCTCACTATTCTGTGAGCTTTTTAAAAGTAATGGCCCTATTTTATATAATTCTACATTTCCTCAGCTTAGTTCTTGCATAGCATAGTCTCAAAAATGTTTGATAGGTGAAGAATGAATGAGTGAGTGACATACAAGGGACTCTGAGTGGAATGTAGGGAGCATGGTTACTATGGCAACCCAAGTAAATAATTTAGAAACAACACTGGAATACTGCTTTGCTTCTGCAGAAAGGTTATACACACATTCTTAGGCTAAAAGTAGGAATTCATGCGAATTCTAGACCATTCATAAGCAGGGACTCTTGGTCCTGGAAAAAACTAAACCCTCAAATCTGACTCTGCATTAACCAGATGGCAAAGTCTGAGGTTATTTTTCCATTTTGTTTTGGATAATGATCTCTTGTATCAATAGCAAAATGGACACATCCTTGAGTCTACTTCCAACTGTAGCAGAAGGAACTTCACACAAGTGACTCGCTTCTTGGTTGTGATGCTTACTTCTGCTATTAATGATCAACATGTAACATTTGTTTTCTAGAATTGCTATTATGTATTGTGACTCCTTTCTAAATAACTATGATTATAACACCTTACATTAATATTTTCTAAGGTCAGCATAGCCTATCTTAAATACAACTGAAAGATGTGAAGTTTCTGCAGGTTGTAAGAATTTAAAGTTCAAAATGTCCACTTAGTATGCACTCTTTTGTGGCAGTGTTATCTGAAGTCTACGAATAACTTTGTGTGTGTGTGTGTGTGTGTGTACTTGTGTTCCCTTATTTCCACCTATACTATGTGGGATTCTGAATCAATAGGAAAGCAGCTGACAGCACTAGATGAAAAATGACTATAGCAAAGAATTTAATCAATAACCACTTTTATCTTAGCAACATACATTACACATTTAAAAATTAACTGCACAAATGTTTACTCTTTGCTAGTCTCAGAGTAAATAAGACCAAGCTGTTCGAAGAGTCAGGAAAACACTAGAGGAGAAGAAGGAATTTTGAATGTCAGAAAAAAAATGCTGTGGTCAGGACTGAGCAGTGAGTCTTCCCTTGATGACGGGATACCACAAGATCACCACAAGCCACCGTAGTGCAATTTATTGCATCAATTCTGCACGCGTGCATGTGTATCTCATCTCTTAGGAGAAATTTCAAACTAAATCCCAGCATATCACTGATAAAACATTAAAATAATGTTTCAGATGAATAACAAATTATAGAATTTAACACTAAAATGCCTTAAGGAAAAAACCTAAATCTGTGATGACAAATCTTTCATAAAGGATTGATTCCAATCTGAACATATTAATGACTTAAAACATGTATTAGGAAGTTAAAGAATTTGTTTATATTAAGAGGTGTTATGATTGAAAACTATGGAAGGACAGCTTCAAAAGATAATATTATTTTTAAAAATACTTTAGTTATAGCTAAAACAACAAATATTTTCCCCACATGTAGTAAAATGAACAGGTGTGTCCCTAAAGCGATGCTGGGGCTCAAGGGAGAGGGTTCAAGTTAGCTAAAGAGCATTCTTAGTCTTTAGCATAGGATTTTATAGACTACTGGTAGTTATTTCAGGGCGGACTTAAAATGGAATTATCATGTTTACGGGAGAGGTATACTGATTAGGAAGTGACAAAATCGGGGAATGCAAGTAACAAATTGTGCCAATTTGTGTGTGTGTGCTTCTCTTCCAGGCAGCATGTAAACACATATTCATTGGGGTTTTTGAGCTGGCAATAGCAGAGTCTGTAGTTTAGACATTCTGTCAAGATTTATGCCTTTCATGTTTCCTTTGGTATAAATTACTCTTTTAAGAAGTTTTAGCTAGTTTTCAATGGCCAAAAGAAACAAAGGAAAGATGTTATTATTTGGACTTGAGGAAGCATTTTAAAGAAAGTGTATGTAGACTCGAAGAGCTTGGAGCAATGGCTATGTCCGTGGCCTTGGACTCAAACAGAGAAAGTCACCCACGTGGAAGGTACTTCCTGGGGAAAAGAAATCCTTCCAGCTAAGTTTTTCCTTTTAATGCTAAACACTGAAGGGTCTCAGTGATCATGATTGTGTGTGTGTGTGTGTGTGTGTGTGTGTGTAAGACTGCCAATTTCCTTTATGGTACCATGTACTTTTAGGGGGTCATTTAAATGGATCAAATACTACCTTCTTTAACTAAATAATTACTATATATTAAAAGCACATATAACCCTTTTTATCAATTTAGGATTATTAAACAAAATAAACCTAAAAAAGCATTGGATGGCATTGGATGTTATTATAATTTCAGGTCTTCTCTAAAGTATATGTGGGAATTAGTTTTTGATTTCTTTATTTTTACTTGTGCTTTAAACAAACAAACTTGCGCTTTTTTACAAAACTGAGCTAGGCATGAGAGTTAGTCTTTATTTTATATTATCTCATGTAACCATCATGACAACACCATAAATTGGTATTAGTTCATTTTCACACATTAGCAAACTGAAATTAGAAGAGCCTTAGGAACTTGTCCTAATTAAGGGGTGTAGCCTACATTCAAGTTGCATCCTGAAAAGTTTGCTTGTTAGGCTATATCTGCTTGTGCTTCTTATATAGCTCTGGCATTTAATTCCATGTTTGTCCTATCCTAAAAAATTTATATTAAAGTTTTCCCTTTATATTGTAGGTAAGTTACTTTGACATTATTATCAAATTAGAAATAAAAATAATAAACCAAAGGAGTACAGTATCCATTTGGATGGAAACGATATACAACCTCAGATCTTTAAAGTAAAAGCATACAATTCACACCAAGTAAGCCGCACACAGTAATGCTTCCACCCACAGGCCTAATTTATTCACTTTCCTCATATTTTCTTTATGTAGTACTTGACGAATGTTTATTGGTAAAGAGTTTTTTTTTTTCTTCTTCTTTTCTTAAACTGAGAATGAACAGCATATTTTAAGCAGCACAATTATGGGCGTTCTGTACTTAGCACAGTTCTCAGAAACCAAATTGGAGAGATGAAATCCAAGAAAGTGTGGGAGAGAAACTGGAATATCAAAAGGAAGCTAGAAAAAGAGCCACAGAAAGGCCTTACTGACTTTCTGAAACTACCAACATGGGCAAAGTTGGTGCCCATGTATGTTTATAATCAGGTAGTGGGGAAAACATTTTTTCAGTGTAGCAAAAAACAAAAAATAATGTCTTTGATGGTCTATGAGACAGTGATTGTTGTTAGAATATTATTACTTATAACAAAGTCATTATTGCTAAGTATTATCCTGATGCATTTTATCAGTGCTGCCTACAGTACAAACCACAGATAATTCCAGAATTTCTTTTTAATAAGTAGTGTCAACCTTCACCAACATCCATCAACCTTTTCAAAAACACTAGCCATAGAAATTAAGAACATTGGAAAGTTTCTATTTTTGTACTACTAGATCTTCTGGTGATAATGATAATTATTTTTTTAAATGGAGGGGAAAAAAGCTCATGATATTACTCTGATTTCATTATTTAGAGGTGTTAGTCAAGAAAAGGCAGCATAACTTCTTAAGAGACATCAGAAATGTTTAATTAGAGAGCAGTGCAGTAAGTAAATAACATGTCACATAAACCTCAATTTTGTTAAACCCTGAGATTTCACGCATTGTACTTCCTTACGTGTAGTATGCTATGGACTGAGTTGTGTCCCCCTAAGATTCATAGGTTTAAGCCCTAACACCCAAGGTGATAGGATTTAGAGATGGAGTCTTTGGGAGTAATGAAGCTTAGATGAGGTCATGAGGGTGGGGCCCTCATAACAAATTAGTGCCCTTACAGGAAAAGACAGGAGAGAGCTTATTCTCTCTCTCCCTCTGCCATGTGGGGCCACAGCAAGAACTTGGCCTCCAGAACTGTGAGAAATTAATTCCTGTTGTTCAAGCCACCCAGTCTATGGTATTTTGTTATGGCAGCCTGAGCAAAGACATACTATTAGCCACATTCCCTAAAATCTATTGAAAAATAACACAATAAGCCAAACTTATTTACTTAGACTCCAAATCTATAACAACTATCAAAGAAGAAAATGTAGGAATGTTGTCCATTCAAAACCTTATATATAATGAATAAACATATTGTTGAGGTAACTTATTTATTGAGATAGATGACAATGTCACAGAGCAAGAAGGCAGGAGACCTGGATTGTACCTTAGTATTTTTCTAGTTGGTATGCAGTCTTGAGAAATTCCCTTAACAGCTGAGGTTGATCAGTTTACTTTCCCTTAAAAAGGAATGGTCTGAAACATTTCTGAGGTCCTTTCCACTTTCAAAGTTCTATAGTTCCCAGTGCACTTTAAAAGAAAGGAAGGATGGAGACGCACACTTACCATTCTGTTCCCGCTGCACTCCTGCCGCCAAGAGATCAGGCTCCCCGAGGCTGATGTCATTCAGCCTGGTCCCCAGACACTCCATGCAGAGATGCTTGCACCACTCCTCGGCCTCCAGCTCTGAAAATGAGCACATGCCATGGAAGTCAAGCAAGGCTACATAGGAATGATGGAGAAGGAATGTTTCCTGAACTAGTTTCCCAGGTAAGTGGTGAGCATTAAAAAATCTACCTTAAGAAAACTAAAAAGCTATATTTAAGCAGTGAAATAAAACAATCTCCACAATTGTTTCCCTTGACATTATAACATTGTATTTTAAAGTTATTTTAAGTTATTCCAATGTACTTTATCTTATTTATAAATAATAGACTGAGATTTGTTTACTATCCAGTATATTTTAGATTGATGTAATTTGAGGAAAGAATCTACTTGGAAAAATTAATTAAATACAAAATAAAAATATATAAGTGAATAGCTGAAAAATGTCAAACTAGATTAAACAAACACATGACTGTCCTCCTGAATGTAACTTGGATTTGTGCGGACTGAAGGTCTGATCCCTGTCATTCTGAACTGAAGTGGATCATAGATCAACAAAAGAATGTGATCGATTTCCTTTTACAAATCTCAAAAGTAGACCATCCTCACTTAAAGAAATTTAGGGAGAGGATATTAAAAATAACTTTCCCCTTTGCAAAACTCCAATTATCCAAGATATTGATTAGATCACTCTCGTTTTATTCCCATTCCTTCCCGACTTCTCTACATTCGCGGTTTTTCTTTGCTTGAAACCTTTGAATACCTTACACCTACACAAAATCTTGTAGTATCAAATGCTTTCACAAACATGGATGAATTTGATCCTAATATAAGCCCTCTGTGCATGCGATGACTAAGGATTAGTGTCATAACTGGGTCTCATATCCTATCATGGGTCAGTACCAAGACAGGACTGGAACCCAAGCCTTCTATTTTTATATGCAGAGATCCAAAAGGTTAGAAATTTTGGGCCAAGCCCCCAAATCACTGCATAGAAATTGGATAAGAGCTTTCCACTGACACTCATCCAGAGAAATTTCGGACTTTTTCACATAGCATAAGTCTGTACTAGAGCAGTTTAATATAGATTTCCTTCGAATCTCTTGCTCCTCTCCGTGGATGACATTGCCATCTTTGCCCTGGCATTTTAAACTCCCCATAAAAAATTATCTGTGACACGTTTTCTTGACTCCAAGGATATGAGTATCAACTGCCCTGCTCGACAGCCAACGTCATCAAACTTGGGTAATGCTTTCTCCCCGTGCTCAGTCACACCGCCTTAGCATCAAAAATGTGTTTGATCAATGAGATGTCAAGCCATATTTGTCACTTTTTCTTAGTTTTATCAAGACCATAGAATGTTGTTAGAAAATAAAGAAAAAGAACATGCAGTCTCCCACGGAGTACTATTCTGACGAAAATAACGCTTCCGATGTTCAAATCACAACAGTGATTTTTCCTTGCAAAAGCTATGGTTTGCATCCTTCAGGGATTGTCCTCTGTGGTGTCAGACACAGCATGTGCCCAAGGAGAAAGCAGATTCTCATGTGGGCCAGGCCTGGCTCCTTGTCTGGCTGGTGGGCTTTTCCTCATGAACCTAGAAAAGAATCCCTTCTGATCACAGGGCCTCTAATACAATAAAAAGGCATTGCTGAGGCTCAGAGCTTTCTAAAAAAGAACCACGTTTTTTCTTCTGGTGAGGGAATGCCAGCCTTCACAGAAAAATTTTATACAAGCAACAACAGCATATATTGAAAATAATTTTCATTAGATATATGAATTTTGACTTCTAAAATTTATGAAAGTTTTGAACGCTTTTCTAACAACAGATCAAAAGCTTAAGCCAATTTCCATGCCGTGTCTCTAGAAATCCTTGACATTTTTGCTAAGGGAGACAATATGGCTATATTTTTTCTTTTTACATTTTGATGTTGTGACTATTTCTCAGAACTCCTCAACCTTCAATCATCAGTGAAATCACATGCAATTAACATCTCATCTGCATGACTCTACCTGCGAGTATTTCCAGGACCCCACAGATGGAAAGAAGAATATCTGCTCTGCTATGTGTGGTAAAATTAAAAGTGTGAAATATGACAAAGCACCTGTGTCACAACGTTCCCTTTAAATACTAAGTCAGTGCATGCCCAGAGGTTAAAGAAATATGTCCCTCACTCCTTCTAGTAACTCTTTTGTCCTAGGATTGAATGAGATAAAGAAAACAACCACACAGTAAAGGGCTTCTAGGAAGCTCGAGCTGACTATTTTGAGTAGAACTCAACTTGGCGTTTCTGTAAGAACCAGAGCCAGTGGGCTGCCTCCACAGCAATGAGAGGGGCTCCTGGGCTTCCACCGGCAGGAAAAGATGGCTTTTGCAGCCAATCTTGAGAATTGCAACACTTCTGCATTTTAATAGTATAGCAGCATGTATGAAGAGAAATAGCAAGAGTAATATAAGTTGACTAGATATAGTCATATTAAAGACTGAATTGTAAACTATTTCAGAAAGAAACAGAGAGAGAAGGAGAGGGAGAGAGAGAGAGGGATAAAGAGAAAGAGAGAGAGACATCCCTGCAATTCAGCTCAGAAGAATCAGATCAGATCAGAATCATCAAGGGTTCATTTCTTTATTAACAAACATTTTCTCACTATAAGTCAGGCACTGTGCTAAGAGGATATGGAAAAACACAGTTTCTGTTCTCAGTAATCTTAGAGTCAGGTGCGTGGGCAGGAGAGTCTGGTGTGTGGTTCTCTGTAGGGCTGTGGCTTAGCCGGTAGGAGCTGGGGCACCAGGACAAAGGCTGAGCAGCTCAGAGGGAATCTGATCAGGGACCTGCAGGGCGAGCAGGAAGGGGAGGGAGTGTGTGTGAGTATGTGTATCAGTGTGTGTCTGTGTATCAGCTTGTGAGTGTGTATCAGTGTATGTGAGCGTGGGACAGTGTGCATATGAGTATTTTAGTATTTGTGAGTGTGTTTGTGTGTGAGTACACGGGTCTGTGTATGAGTACGTGAGTGTGTGAGGTATTTGTGTGAGAGTATGAGGGAGCGTTACGTGTCTCTGTGTGAATGTGCTGGAGGAACGAGGCTGCACTGAGGAGGGTGGTCGGGGCTGAGATGGAGAGGCACATCCAGGGCAGCGACAGTGACACCTTGTGACCAGCGAGGGACAGCCCTGAGTTCAAGGAGTAAAGTCTGAGAAGCAGTCAGCACTCTGTTCGTCCTCTTCCCGGTTTTGTAGTTTTTAGTTCAGTTAGATCAGCCCCAAACCTTCACCTCAAAAGTACTAACCTGTGTAGTTTGCATACTTGATCTAACAGTTTTGCTGCAGACAAGCTGAACTTGTTTATTATACAAGGCTTTGTTGCTTAAAATCTGTTTTTGACAGTCACCTTTCAAATAATTATAGCTGTGCTTTTTATTTGCTCTTTTCTTTGGCAAACTCCATGTATTGAAATCCTTTAATATCTTTTGTTGCATGTTAATTTATTTTGTCCCATCATTATTTAACTAGTGTTTTTCTCTGAATTACCTTACATCTTTCACCTTTCCATTTTCTGTGTTCAAAGAACTGAGGAGATTAAATACGAATGCAATAATCTAATAAACCCACTGTATTTTTAAATATTTATTTTCCCATAATTTCAGTGCCTTTTGTCTTTTGCTTTATCTTTCAAGCATCTACCTTGATCTACACATAATGTGTAAATAATTAAATTTCTTTATGGAGGAATGAAGGCATAAAATGTTCTGCAACGTTTTCTATGTTTTTCTCTTTATGGTGGAAGTGCTTTCTCATTTAGATGTCTTTTGTGGATAGCTTGCAGCTATGCTCAAATTCTTAATTCAGGTCAATAACTTTTCTCTAGAACAGAAACCCAAATAATGTTTTCATTACGTATAGGATTAGTTAAATGAATAAATTTGGTAACTTCCAAAAGAAAAGAAACCTGAAAGATGTTTGGGAATAACAAGACAAATAGAGAAGAGAGACTAAACTAAATTATGGGACTGTAAGGAAAATGATGATCAGAGATCCTGCAAAGTAGAGATACAGTCAAAGATGGACGGCTGCTCCTGAGTTTCTTTCCATCACTTCTTTGCAGAATTCTAGGGAGAATTTGAAGAATTATGGCTAGATTCCTTTGAATAAGAAGAGATCTTTTGGGCTTCCCTGGTGGCGCAGTGGTTGAGAGTCCGCCTGCCAATGCAGGGAACACGGGTTCGTGCCCCGGTCCGGGAAGATCCCACATGCCGCGGAGTGGCTGGGCCCGTGAGCCTTGGACGCTGAGCCTGTGCATACGGAGCCTATGCTCCGCAACAGGAGAGGCCACAACAGTGAGAGGCCCACATACTGCAAAAAAAAAAAAAAAAAAAAAAAAAAAAAAAAAAAAAAAAAAAGAAGAGATCTTTACATAGCAGACTCTTAAGAATGCCTATTGAATAAATGATTAAATTTAAGCTTTATTACTTTCACTAAATTTAGGCCTTAGGATAACGACTTGAAAGTTAAATGATCCAAAAGGAGCTACATTTGCAAACAGTGTAAAAAGGGTCATCACATCTACAGAAAATAGGCTATCAGCTAAAATCATATAGCAGAATTAAAAATGGCACTGCATCAGTTTCATGGTAATTTGCTGTAAGATGCAGGCAAGACTACTTTTGTGTGGAAATAATAAACGTTTGTATTTAGTCCTCATTGGATTTGGCTTTTATTAATAATCTTAGGAAAATGTAGGTAAGATGATACTGTTTTGTCATCAGTAAAACCAGGAATTCTTAAGCATATGTAATTCTTATTTGCTGGGCAGATTTGCTATGATTTGGTGACACATGTTGTTTTTATACTTACTGAAGTCTTAAATACTTCAGTATTTGCTGGAAAGTGAAGAAAAATGTCTCCCAATGTAGACTGTTGCTACAAAGATCTCTTATTGTCATTTGAAATTTATAGAGCTATTAAAATATACTATATTTTGACGACATTTTTCATTCTTGAAAATTGGCACCTACTTCTTATTTAACTGGCCTTGTTGATATGTTATGGACTTTTCTTTTTCTCTTTTTCTGTAGTAGGAAGA